AAGAAAAACACGCGATGAAACCTGTACGTCAGAAAAATTAAAAAATATCTTGTGGATATATGAAGTCTGTTGAGCAACGCGGGGGATATTTTCTTGCTCTAAGGCCCCTTACGCACTAGCGGTTGGCCACCTAGCCGATTTGTTTGAGCGGCCAGCCGCTTGACGTGGTTGGAGTAACAGCTGACCGCTATGGCCAACCGCGATAAGCGGTTGTATCGCTCAATAGGCTTGGAGGGCCATAAACCAAATGTACGCTATCTAGGTAGCTCATGTTATCTATTTTACTCTCGAAAACAACGAAATAAAAAAGTAAAAAAGATACTGGATTCGTCCATTATATTGTTTCCGTTTTAAATCCCTATTCTTATACGATGCTACTTCGAAATTCTATATAACTTCTGGTTGTTGAATTTCAACAACGAATTTCTCTGTGTCCAAGTTCATGGCCGCACAACTCAAACTTGAAACGTGTACAAACACATCGGTGACTCGCCACAAACTAAACCGCCAGTGCATATAAACAAAATGGCGGCGAGCCGCGATTCGAACCGCGGCTCATCGTTCAACCGCCGCACCGCGCGGTTAGCCACTGGTGCCTAATTGCCCTAAAACCTCTTTAGACTGTTACTTTACGTATTGTCAGAATTATGTGTCAGCTGCTACTATTTACTCCACAAAAAGCTAGCGTACCCGGCATGAGGAATGAAAATTTAGACCAATGTATTGTGCAAAAGCAAACCCGGTGCCAGATAATTAAAATATATCTTATTCATTAATTAAATTGTGACTTGTATAAAAATTCCATGAACCAAACTAACTACCTCAAATACATTTTCATCTACAGGACAAATGAGATGTTACAAAATGTATGGAGCCTGGGCCAGGTCTTTGTACACTATATTCAAAAATAGACAAACACATTTTAAACGGTTCTATACGGTCTAATTATTTTATAACGGACTTTTTGCTGGTAAAGCACAGGAAATTACACTTGAAATTGCAACACACAATAAAAACCCCTCATGGCGGTATGCTGTCATATTTATTGATTACTGACGTTTGACATGTTTATTTCAAGTATTTCTTTTCTTTCTGTTGTGACAACTGACAATTTTCTTTCTATGATCATTGGTCGCTTTATGATTTACTGTTTTTTTATTAACTGGCTTTACTGCTCTGGGTTCTAGCCCATCTAAGCCTATCATTTATTTCGGAATCTTCATTTTATATTCTTTTTCATCAAAATATGCTGATGCGTAACATTGCAAAGCCCTTGGGAGATTTTGGCTCAATAAAGGCGCCCAAGCGATCAAAATAACTTGAGGTTTATATCGACATCAAAGCACTTGTTTCGTCGTTTTCTCTAATAGTTAACACGCCCGGACACTTAATTCACAAAATTGCATCACTATACGAATCAAAATCCACTTCAAACCATTATTTAAGCGACAAAACAGAGACAATCCGTCTACTTACGATTTACTGTCATTGTCTATAAGCACAGAGTAACCAAATCGTTGAGACGCCATATTGAAAGTCGATAAAAATAATTGATAAACATTAATTGTTTACCACGACAGGATACATTTAAATGAATTATCTATATTTTTCCCGAATTCTACGGATTGTTTTCTTTTTTTTTGTGGTATTGTACATACACCTGGCCTATTTTGAAACATCTGCTTTAACCAAATAAAAAAGACCATTTTTGTGCAATTTTCCTTCCGATATCGTTCAACTACTTAAGCATCGTTGAATAAATGGGTTTAATAAATACCGTATACCTAAATGAAGGTTGAATTATTCCTGTACTGATCATGATTAAAACTATTCACAATCAACTTTCTCACTTTAAGCCTTCAACAAAAAATTTACTTATATTTTTAATATGTAGTGTCGGGGGCAAACCAGTGTTGTTATCTATTTTAGTCTACTTTGTTGCAGCAGCAGTAGAGTATTATTGTTGCATTAAAATCCGAGTCGACATGAAATAATTAAACACCAAGCTGCGAAGATATTGAGAAGCTATTATATAAAGTAACATTTTACATAATGATTTCTTAAATTTACGCGAACACTATTATACATTGAATAAAAACTAAATTTACGGATTTTATCGCGTTTATTTCACTACTTTTACTTATTTTTAATTCCCGACGTTTCGGGTGCTTTACAGCAACCATGGTCACGGGGGGGGACTGAGATGTTTGACGTCCCAATGTCATAGTTAATCCGGCTACCTTCAGTTTTTGAATATTAATTTTTGGTCCGATTTACGCAAAACGAGCTTATAGTATCATGAAGTCTTGCAGTGGTATGCTTAGGTTTGGGTTTAATTTTGTTAATTATAGGATCCCAAGCAGGTGGCAGCACCCATCCATCTTCTCTATTGAAATTTGGATGTTTTTTAATTTCAATAGCCTCGCGTATCATCCTTGGTAGGAATCGGTGTTCTTTTGCGAGAATTTGTGGTTTATCAAAACGAATGTATTGGTGGGGACGATCTTGAACATGTTCGCAGACTGCAGACTTCCCGGAGCGTCGGTGCTTCACGTCAGCTATATGTTCTTTAACGCGGGTTTTTATGGATCTTTTTGTTTGACCTATGTAAGAGAGACCACATTCACAATCTAACTTGTACACTCCTGCATCTTGTAGAGGGATATTACACTTGACGGATGGTAAAAATTGACTAATCTTCTTCGGCGGCTTGTAGTAAGTTTTAATAGAAGCTCGCTTCAAGATGTAGCCAACCTTGTCTGTGACTCCTCTGACATATGGTAGTACAGCAGGTACACGCTCGACTGTGGCCGGCTTCACTCGGTCACTGTGACGTAGGCGCGGGGACCCGAAGCTTGTTGTCTTGCAATACTTGCTTGACGTGCTGAAGTTCGGCGGCCAGATGTTTTCTGTCACAGATCCCTCGTGCTCTCTGAAACAAAGATTTACCCACGGTAGCCAACTGTGAAGGATGATGGTGAGATTCACTATTTAAATATCGGTTGGTATGGGTCTTTTTTCTATACACAGTGTGACCAATTGTGTTATTAGGATTTCGAATGACTAAAACATCTAAGAAAGCTAAAGAATTATTTGCCTCTAACTCCATTGTGAATTGTATTTTAGAGTTTATAGAGTTAAGGTGGTTTAAAAACATTTTACACTTCTTGTTATAGGCTTAACATTTTGGCCCTCTGAGTGGAATTATCAATATCAAAAGTAAAAAAAATAATAACTAGTTCATTGAAACATTCGCTTCTATATTTTAACACCTATACAGGTGAAATGTTTTTTAAATTTAAATACCACGACTTATAAGTTTTTTTTTAATAAAATAAACACGAGTTACGAACTATTAAATAAAAATACAACATCTACGTTTCGTCTTGAATAAAAAGAATAACTTACGTTTAAAATAAACATACAGACAAATAAAGAACCTTTTCTTACTTTGAAGTCATCTTCAAACACACGCTACTTTAAGTGATGTAAAATGAAGCTGTGGACTTTTACAGGCTGTAATAGATGTATGTATCTATTACAGCCTGTAAAAGCCCACAGCTGAACATAGACCTCCTACATAGATTTTTCTTATAGGATAGGGTGACAAACGAGCACACAGTCCACCTGATAGTAAGTGGTTGCTGCAGCCCATAGACATCTACATCTTTACTCAATTACGAATCAAAATGCAGATGCGTCGTCACCTGTGAGAATTGAGTGAGATTGTGACGCCTGAGGACTGAGATGGAATGCCTCGTTTCCAGTAAAAGGGTCTCCGATTCTCTACACTCACAATACGAAACACAGCAGCATTAAGTTACTATTTTACGCTGGTATCCTGTGAGAGCGTGGTTCTTCCCCGGTCGAGCCGACCCATTCGTGCTACAACTATACTACTAATATAACTGCGGCATGGCTCTACCACGTATAAAGATTGCTTCATAGGTTGGATTTTGCCATAATTGACATGCTTGCCAAGTGGTTTGTTAACCGCAGTTTTAGCAGTTGCAAGGGACGACTGAGGGAGATGAAATAATGTGCAGCAGAATCTTCCTGATAATATTTTTAAATAATTAAAAACTTCGTTTGATAACCCGCCTGACAAGCGTGTTGCAACCTATCATATCTTCAGCAGAGGGCACTTATCGGCTGTAATGGGTGAAACAGTTATGCCCATGAATACCTGCAACAAACTTTAAGCACAAAATTCAAAAGGTTTATATTTTTATTTAGGTGAATACTGCTTGTTTGCTTGGTTGCTTGCTTCATTTAAAAGCTTAATAAGTGTGGTAATACAAATTTTTAATAAATAAATAATACGTTATTAAACGTAAAAATTTGTAAATGTGATGTGATATTTACGTTAGTTAAAAAAAAACGCTGAATTGCTAATGCGACCGTTTACGTCATATCATGATTTACGTCTGCTCATGTGTTCTCGGGTTCGAATCCCAGATCAGCTTAAATTATCTATTAGGTTTTTAAAATTAAGGAATCCTAAAAAGTATCCTGAAGTCAAAAAGTTGGCGGTGGCACGTAAAGCCATTGGTCCTGGACAGATATTCATATCTTTCGGTCGTGTCAGAGATTGCCCTCCCATCAGACAATGAAAGTAAGAGAATATCCAATGTACTCGAAAACACAATTGTGCGCTATAATCCTGTCTTAAACAGAAGGCTAGTCTTCATTGAGATTGACGTGACCGAAATTCGTTCTTGAGGATATAGGCATAACTTAAAAAAGTCGCCACAGCGATATCGGTCCAGTCATTTGTAATCTATAATTACAGCTTGGTAGAGCAATGGCTGAGTTGCGACAAATTTTCGAACGAATGCCGCACGGAACAAGCCTTTGTATGGCCTACAAATAATTGTATCGGGTCAGCCTTTTTGTTCAAGTATAATTTATTTATGTGACTCCATGATTCCACATACAATTTTTAAAATATTATAATAAGTCATTGTGTGTATTTATTTACAGTGTTCGAAGCTATACTGATGGTAGTATTAATTGAACTGGGTACTTCAGTACATATACAACGAAAAAGGAATGAAGCATATTCAAGTATGACCTGTTCATTGATGGATTACACAGCTACAGCAAAATGCGTTCTCACGCAAAGCCAGCTGTCATGTCGAGATGGTTTCACAAGCGAATGGGTTAAAGGTACAAAGTAAGTTTGCGTACATACTCGTATATTTTATCAAAACATTATGATGTGGCTTAAAACATACATATTATTTTAAACAGTCATAGCAAATTTGCGTGGGAATATTAATTTATATACTGTAATAAAGTCATGATACGTGAAATAAGTTCTTAGCAAGCCTTATTCTTATTCTTACGTATACGATAATATGTAAACAAAACATACGTACATATTATAAAAAATAGGCCTACGCATCGCCATAAGAAAAGTGGCCGTTAACTGTGAAAATGTCATGAATGTTAATTACTTTGACAAAGAATCGTCGATTCGCAAACATATTGTTGCATGAATAAGTCAACTAGCGCCATCTAGTGTCAGGAACGAGAGCGAGGGGAGCATTGAGAAAATGACATCACAAATCACTCAACCGACAGCGCCTAGTCGAAACTCGAACGCTCGGTACCTTGCGCGTGTTTACTTGAACATTCTGGATATTTCTTTGCTAATTTAAATATATAGGCACTGCAAGATGCGATGGGAGTAGAGTTGAACTCGGCGACACAAGCGAAGCTTCGGAGCGGAATTAAGTGAATTAGTGTGTTTAATTATTAGTGTTTTTAGTTTTAATTTGTGTAAAGTAAATTAAAGTGTTAATTTAGGTAATTTTATCGGCAATTTTTATTGTCACGAACCTCAAGCTCGTAACAATTGGTGTCAGAAGTGGGATAAAATCATGCCGATTTTACCTAAGGAGGAAACGGAGGGTGTCCGTACCCGAAATCAACGCCAGCAGGAGACGGACCAGAGGAGATTTAGTGGTGCAACGCCGCAGACGTCGGAGGGCCAGCCGCCGGTTGCAGGCCCGTCAGTAGCTCCTACATCTGCAGCAGCCGATTTAGGTGCTCTGATGGTGATGCTGCAGGAACAGGCTCGCCGACAGGAGGAACAGGCCCGCCGACAGGAAGAGCAGATGCTCCTCGTGAAGGACATTCACGCTAACTTCGGGAAAGAGATTAGGGAGGTGAAGGATAGGGTTGCTCAACATGACAACCGCCTGTCGGAAGCTGAAACCCAAATCAAGGAAGCTAAAACCCAAATCGACCAAGTAAACAATCGGGTTGATTACGTGATGGCTGACGTGAAGAAAACGCTGGACGACCTCAAACTGGGGAATGGATAAAGGCCAGTGCTCCCAAGCCCAAGTGGAGTGACGTCTCAGCAATGAGTTCGACCACTAAAAGCTATTGGGCCCAGTGAGACAGCTTGCTGCTTCAGGATGGAGTTCTGTGTCGTAAATGGGAAAATGTTCGGGGAGAAACTGTCATTTGCAAATGGTTGTCCCTAAAGCTAAAGTACCGGATGTTCTACAGCTGTACCATAATGATTGTTCAGGAGGCCATCTGGGAGTTAAACGAACTCTACTGAAGATCCGAGAACGGTTTTACTGGGTCCACTGTCGAAACGATGTCGAGGACTGGTGTCGCAAATGTACAAGTTGTGCGGCTGTAAAGGGACCTCAGACTCGTAGTAGAGGTGCATTGAAGTTGTACAATGTTGGTGCACCATGGGAGAGAATAGCCATTGACGTGGCGGGGCCGTTTCCGGAGGGTGAAAGCGGTAACAAGTATTTCATGGTTGTGATGGATTACTTCACTAAGTGGCCAGAAGTCTTCGCCATTCCAAATCAAGAAGCTTCAACAGTTACAGATAAACTAGTTCATGAAGTCTTCTGTCGTTTTGGAGTACCTTTAGAGATTCACAGCGATCAAGGAAGGAATTTTGAGTCTCAAATATTCCAGGAAACTTGCCGAGTTATGGGTACTCATAAAACAAGAACGGCTTCTTATCACCCGCAATCTGATGGAATGGTGGAACTATTTAATCAGACATTGGAGAGATACCTAGCAAAAGTTGTAGACAATCGGCAACGAGATTGGGACAAGCACATACAACCGTTTTTGTTGTCATATCGAAGTTCTGTTCACGAAAGTACAACAGTGACACTAGCTTTCGCAAACTTTGGAAGAGAATTACGGCTGCCTGCAGACCTGATCACCGGGATACCACCTGATGCTCCACGCAGTATAACCGATTATGCAAATGACTTGCGGAAAAAATTGAATGACGTTTATGAGCACGTCAGACAATCGGGCCAGCAAATGTCTGAAAAGATGAAAACACGGTATGACCGCAAAATGAACAACAAAGGGTTCGACGAAGGTTCAATTGTGTGGTTGCACAATCCAGTCCGCAGCAAAGGGAAATCTCCTAAGCTTCAATCTAAATGGGACGGCCCGTACCGGATTGTAACCAGGATCAACGATGTGACCTACCGGATACAGAAAGGCGCAAGAGGGACTCCTAAGATCGTCCATGTGGATCGCTTGGCGCGTTATTATGGGACCGATAATGCTCGGGACGAGCATGTCTTAGGAGGAGGGCAGTGTTGCATGAATAAGTCAACTAGCGCCATCTAGTGTCAGGAACGAGAGCGAAGGCAGCATTGAGAAAATGACATCACAAGTCACTCAACCGACAGCGCCTAGTCGAAACTCGAACGCTCGGTACCTTGCGCGTGTTTACTTGAACATTCTGGATATTTCTTTGCTAATTTAAATATATAGGCACTGCAAGATGCGATGGGAGTAGAGTTGAACTCGGCGACACAAGCGAAGCTTCGGAGCGGAATTAAGTGAATTAGTGTGTTTAATTATTAGTGTTTTTAGTTTTAATTTGTGTAAAGTAAATTAAAGTGTTAATTTAGGTAATTTTATCGGCAATTTTTATTGTCACGAACCTCAAGCTCGTAACAATATTTTTATTTGTCCAAAGCCAGGCATTTTATCGCTATAAATCAGTACAACAATTATTGCAAAAAAGATATTTAAAAATAAACTCTCGATATATCATATTATGATTAAAATCTCTTTTTTAATACAGTTGCTCAAAAAGTGGCGTGTTGCGGGGACGTATAGCGTTCGGGATGTGGGTTATTACATACTCGAGCTTTTTTTTACCTTTTCCGAACTCGTGCGTTCTCTTTCCTAACTGTCAAAATAATATCTATTAAAAAGAAAAAACCAACCACGAAGTATTTACTAAAAAAAATCATAGAAGTTTTTATGATTCATGCAAATATTTCTAAAAAGAAGCTACTAATTTGTTTTAATATCAGATTTAATGATTTGATTCCATGAGTTAGGTTAGGTTTCGTTTCATTTCATCTAATTAAATTTAATTTCCATTTCATATGGTTAAAAAAATTCTACCGAAGACTTGGTTGTATGTGCATAGTTCCCTTTGCCTACCCAGAATGGGTAAAGGAAACAAAAAAAATCTCTGCTTATATTTTACGGTTGGCGCAATTTTCCAAAAATGTTCTTTGCGAGTTTAGTTGTTTGTTGCACAAAATTAGTAATTTCGACGATATTTTGTTTGAATTAACACCACCGGAACTCAGTATAATTGCACAAAATGCTTCGGAGAACATTTTCCGGAAAAGTCAAAAAGTCGCTACATATCTACATACGACGAATTTGTTGCTTGTAGACATTGCGCTATTATGTACTACGTACTAGAGGCGACAGTGCATTCAGCTACTCTGTTCCATTCAACTGCGGTGCATACACCGTAGGCATGTCGATTCACTCTTAAAAAAATCGATCCCTGAATCGATTCGAATCGAAGATACTAGAATAGATTATCGATTAAATCGAGGATTAAAAGATCGATTTTCGATTAATCGCGACATATTCAAACATGAAATTTCAAGAATTTGCTAATTTTTCTTTAATTGAACTTTAATATTTTTTGAAATTAAAATATTAGTAATCTTATTAATTAAAATTACTAATATTCCTTTTAACCTCTCCTGGTAAGCTTGAAACGCTTGTTTTAGGGGTGGTTCGCCACTCGATCCCTTTTTTAGGGTTCCGTAGTCAACTAGGAACCCTTATAGTTTCGCCATGTCTGTCTGTCCGTCTGTCCGTCCTCGCTTAATCTCTGTGACCGTTAGCACTAGAAAGCTGAAATTTGGTACCAATATGTATATCAATCACGCCGACAAAGTGGTAAAATAAAAATTGGAAAAAAAAAGTTTTATTAGGGTAGCACCCCTATATGTAAAGTGGGAAGTGATTTTTTTTTAATTTCAACCCTAACGTGTGATATATTGTTGGAAAGTTATTTAAAAATGCATAGGGGTTTACTAAAGTCATTTTTTGATAATGTCAATAATTTCGGAAATAATCGCTCCAAAAGTAAAAAACAATTTGTCCCCAAAAAAATCTGAAAAGTAGAACTTTATAAGGACTTTCTAAGAAAATCATTTTGAACTTGGATGGAAACAACAGTACCCACTACCGGGAGCAGTTGCAGGAGCGCGGAGCGCTGCTGGAGCGCGAACATAATGGATCCCCCCCCCAACAAGCTTTCGGCTGACCTGAACTGCCTCCTGGCGGCTCGGGCCGAGCCTACATAAAACACCCATTAATCTGCCTTAGGCACCTTTCTAAGCGGCTTTTCGCCGCTTGCGCCCTCCTTTCTGCCAAGGAGGGTCGCGTTCGTATACGGCTTAGAGATCTCTAGTCAGATCGTTAAGCCATTTCCTAAAAGGCGGTGTTTAGTGGGTAAAAGTCTCCACATAACCACGCAGCCGGCTGCGTGGTATGCTATGAGCATTCACCGCCTCCCTCCCCCGCTTTCCGGAGGGTTGCCCATATTTGCTTCGGGCGCAAAAAAAAAAAAAAAAAAAAAAAAAAATAATGGATACCCACCTTTAAACTCATAAGTGGACACACTTATTGTGACGTACGGGAAATTACGGAACCCTACACTGAGCGTGGCCCAACACGCTCTTGGCCGGTTTTTTACAAAGTGATTCCATGTATCGCTTTTATTTGACATTTTAGACTAAAAACAACAACAATACTTTAACAAAAGGGCAAATTGCAACGTACATTTCTCGATCAATCTGTTTCAATCTATTAACTCACTATTTATCAAATTGAAATGAATGCTACACG